GAGTCCAGTTTGTTATGTGGCTCATTATTAACTGTAAGGTTCTGCTCAGTTTCGTCTCAGACATGGTGAACCTGTACTACCGCTCCGACCAGGACGTTCAGAAGGACCCGGAGCTACAAGCGTGGATCAGAGACATAACAGAGGAAGGTTTCACTGAGCTTCCCAAGTTTGGTACGTTTTTGTTACTTTGTCTTAAATATACATATAAGGTTCAACTTTAACACAACATGTGTAAAAAATAATGAGTTATGATGCAAAAGCTCATCGTAATATAATTTCAAGTGAGAAACTGCTTAACTTTTCCTTATTGTTATTGTCAGAGTTCTGCCCTCTGCTTGGGTTTATTTTTAGTTTATTTGTGTTTTATATAGTTTATTTCTACCAGTGCTGAGTTCTTTAGTTACTCTCTGTCGCCCCCTGGTGCTTGTTTTCTTTTCCCTTTGGCTTCCTCCTAGTTGGTCCTGCCCACACCTGCTCCCAATCTGCTGATTAGCCTGCCTTGGTTCAGTCCCATATATACACCCCCTCTGCAGTCACTCAGGGCTGGTTTGTGTTTTGTTGTTCCGTCGTCTCTGGTTCTCCACGTGACGTTTATTTATTTTTTCTTTGTTCTTTGTATTGTTTGGATTTTACCTCAGCTGCCTTATTAAATGTGCAATGCTCACCTCTGCCTCCTGGTCTCTGCATCAAAAACCAGTTAGTGAACTTAAATCAATATTTTCTATACGAAATCTCCGGAAATCCCTGCTAACATTGCCTGTTTTTGTATCACTAACTTATTTTTCCTCATTCTCAGTGTTAATGCAGACGCTGCATTTAGTGCTATTGCAAGTGTTTCTCATTTCTCCTTTTTTAAACGAGAAATTGACGCTGTTTGCGTAATCAACAGGTGAGTCCTCCAGCATTGCCCTGTTTGTTATTTCCCACCAAACCCCCTCTGACTGTCATCAGTCCTGCATGTCCCGCCCCTAAAAACACTGCTGGCATGTCATTGCTCCGACCTGCTGGTGGTTAGAAAACGGACGTATTAGCTGGAGTCTTTCAAGATGAATTAGTTAATATACTGGAAACTCAGATCTGTGGACAGTCCGGTTAGTTTGGTTAACCTGCAGACAGCTCTCCTGATCATATGGCCACTTTTAGCACATCCAGGACTCAAACCGGATGTAATTCCAGCTGTCACCTCTACCTCACCACTGCCTATCCTTCCACACCATCAATTCTAAAGCCCGTCTGTGTGTAACTTATTATAACAATTTCAGCAGGAAGCTACAGTTGGAGGAATCACAGCTTCCTCTGTTTTATGGTTGTCTTATTCAGGTCTGTCGAATACTCTCAGCAGCAAAGAGGAACTTTCCACCCTACTGGCCGTGGCCATTTTCACCAGCACTGCTCAGCACGCTGCAACCAACAACGGACAGGTAGCGAAAACCCACAGGGCCAACGAATTAATGAGCAAAGCTTAGAAACAGCTTCAGAACTGAAGTTAGATCTGTCTCAGTTTTCACAAATACACATTTTATTCATACATGCACAGTACAAGATCCACACACACACAGCATGATTCACACAAGCACACAAGATCCACACCTGCACAGCGCAGAGGCTGTAGACAGAGCGGCTGTTTGGGTTTCCGTCCATCAGTGACGGGTCTGTATGGAGCTAAATCGGTCTCTATTTTCACAAATACACATATAAGATCCACACACGCACAGAACAAGATTCACCAAAGGATTCCTGGTCCATAAACAATTATAGGTCAAATTAAAAAGTACCAGTGGCCTTTAAACTTCACTGCTTTTGTGTGTGGATTTTTGAGAATCTCCTCGATACACAAATGCATTTTTTTTTAAACAGGGGACAGTTTGCAACCAATCACAGAGCTCCCTTATATGAGCCAATCACAAGAAAGTAATCCATGTTGGATGACTTACGCCCAGATCCCACATCCTCTATATCCGGCCTGCTCCGTTCCAGACCGCCTGCCCAAAGCAAAGCCTACAGCCTCAGCTGTTCCTCCGTCCTGCTCGACGCTGACTTCCTCTGAGCTCCAGGAGAGAATGCGCTATATTATTATTTCATTCATAGTAGAAAAACATGCTGGAATGAACGCTTAATTTAATATGACATAATTAAATCTCACCATCAGCATCAGTCACACACGTTTCTGCCCAAACTTTATTTTTTCGTTGTGGGTCTTTGTAATAGGAATAATCATCGTACCTCCCAGCCTCTCTTCATCCATGCCTGCAATCAGAAGTTTGTTTTAAAGTTGTGAGATTTGTGATTGGATGTGATTAAACTTTTAAGCCTCTCGATATAAAATAAATATTTCGATGTTCTACCAATAGACGCATCCAATCCTTTAATTAAACGGTCTTAGTTTGTGGGAATATATAAGGATTATGCTCTAATTCGGGGGGGGGCAATTCTAGTTCCCGAGGGCCGTTATCCTGCAACTTTTAGAAGTGCCTTTGCTTCAACACACCTGAATTGAGTAAGTAGATGATTGAGAGGACTCTGGAGGAACTGAACAGAGATGGCAAAAGTACTCACTTTCCGTACTTGAGTAAAAGTACAGATACTTGTGTTAAAAAATACTCTGGTAAAAGTGGAAGTACTGATTAAACTTCTTTACTCAAGTAAAAGTAACAAAGTACAGGCTTGTAAATT